GGTTCAATTAATCTTTCACCCCTATACCCAAGTCAGATGAATAATTTGCATGTCAGTATCACTGCGGGCCTCTACTAGAGTTTTCTCTGGCTTCACCTTGCTCAGGCATAGTTCACCATCTTTCGGGTCCCGACGGGGCTTGCTCGCACTCGAACCCTTCTCAGAAGATCAAGGTCGGTCGATGGTGCACCCACGAGGGATCCCGCAATCAGGTTCCTTGCACCTTACGAGTTTTTTGGCCCGTTGACTCACACGTTTATCAGTCTCCTTGGTCCGTGTTTCAAGATAGGCCGGATGGGGAGCTCGTAGGTCGACGTCGGGAGCACGCCAGTGTCGACGCACACCGAGGTGGTGTGTGCTGCATTCCATGATCGCGATGATGATGTTTCCAGGGGTTCGGGCACAACGAGGCTCTCACCCTCTCTGACACCCCTTTCCAGGGGACTTGGGCCCGATCCGCCGCTGAAGACGCTTCTTTAGACTACAATTCAGATGTCGGTGGTGCCCGATTCTCAAGCTGGGCTCTTCTCAGTTCACTCGCCGTTACTAGGGGAATCCTGGTAAGTTTTTTTTCCTCCGCTTATTGATATGCTTAAACTCAGCAGGTGATCCTGCCTGACCTAGGGTCGCGACACGAGCATCGATCTAGCGATGCGAGGGGTCCGACGGGGTTCGAATGGACAACAAATGCGCGTCACCGGGGATAAGGCACTCCGGGAGCTCTACCACCGACGGTCACGACACTGTCATTACCAGGGACTCGCTTTTGGGCCAACCACAATCGAAGGGATCGTCAGAGGCCATCTTTCGCCCGCCCCCTTCCCTCGGAGCCCGACGGGCGGGGGTTTGGAAGGGGGCCGACGGTACATGACACCCAGACAGGCATGCCCTCGGCCTAATGGCTTAGGGTGCAACTTGCGTTCAAAGACTCGATGGTTCACGGGATTCTGCAATTCACACCAAGTATCACATTTCGCTACGTTCTTCATCGATGCGAGAGTCGAGATATCCATTGCCGAGAGTCGTTCAATTTTTTTGTGACAAAAAGAGTCACGGCGTCACCCTCGCACGCACCGCGGAGGGGATGGCGACGGCGCGCGCGCTCCATTTTCGTTTTGATTCCTTGGCATGATTCACACCGAGGTTTCATTTTTCGGTACGGGCGAGACAACGCGGATCATTTCGCTCACCCGATAGGGTGGAAGGAGTGACTGTCCTACCCGTCCGAGGTTAGAGGTGACTCGGGGCGTAGGGGCACCCTCGCCCCCTCGGTGTTTCGTTAACACCTCTATGGGTCATCCGTCTAGCGGGGTTTCGACAATGATCCTTCCACAGGTTCACCTACGAAAACCTTGTTTCGACTTTTCCTTCCTCTCAATGATAAGGTTCAGTGGACTTCTCACGATGTCACGAGAGGCAGATCATCCACATCATCGCGATCCGAATACTTCATCAGACCATTCAATCGGTAAGAGCGACGGGCGGTGTGTACAAAGGGCAGGGATGTAGTCAACATGAGCTGATGACTCGCATTTACTAGGAATTCCTCGTTGAAGACCAACAATTGCAATTATCTATCCCCATTATGATGAAATTTCAAAGATTACCCGGGCCTATCGGCCAAGGCTATAGACTCGTTGAATACATCAGTGTAGCGCTCGTGCGGCCCAGAACATCTAAGGGCATCACAGACCTGTTATTGCCTCAAACTTCCTTGGCCTAAGCGGCCATAGTCCCTCTAAGAAGCTACCCACGAAGGATCACCTCCACGTAGCTACTTAGCAGGCTGAGGTCTCGTTCGTTAACGGAATTAACCAAACAAATCGCTCCACCAACTAAGAACGGCCATGCACCACCACTCATAGAATCAAGAAAGAGCTCTCAGTCTGTCAATCCTTACTATGTCTGGACCTAGTAAGTTTCCCCGTATTGAGTCAAATTAAGCCGCAGGCTCCACTCTTGTTTGTGCCTTCCGTCAATTCCTTTAAGTTTCAACCTTGCGACCATACTCACCCCGAAACCCAAAGACTTTGATTTCTCATAATGTGCCAGCGGAGTCCTAAAAGTAACATCCACCGATCCCTGGTCGGCATCGTTTATGGTTGAGACTAGGACGGTATCTGATCGTCTTCGAGCCTCCAACTTTCATTCTTGATTAATGAAAACATCCTTGGCAAATGCTTTCGCAGTTGTTCGTCTTTCATAAATCCAAGAATTTCACCTCTGACTATGAAATATGAATGCCCCCGATTGTCCCTGTTAATCATTACTTTGATCCCGAAGGCCAACACAATAAGACCAAAATCCTATGATGTTATCCCATGCTAATGTATATAAGCGTAGGCCTACTTTGGGCACTCTAATTTCTTCAAAGTAACAACGTCGGAGGAATAACCCGGGCAATTAAGTCCAGGAGTGCATCACCGATAGTAGGGACGAGTAGATCGGTGCTCATCATGAGGTGGACCGAACAACCCAACCCTAGTTCCAACTATGAGCTTTTTAACTGCAACAACTTAAATATACGCTATTAGAGCTGGAATTACCACGGCTGCTGGCACCAGACTTGCCCTTCAATGGATCCTCGTTAAGGGATTTAGATTGTACTCATTCCAATTACCAGACTCATAGAGCCTGGTATTGGTATTTATTGTCACTACCTCTTCATGTCAGGATTGGGTAATTTGTACTCCTGCTACCTTCCTTGGATGTGGTAGCCGTTTCTCAGGCTCTCTCTCCAGAATTGAACCCTAATTCTTTGTCACCTGTCACCACCATAGTAGGCCATTATCCTACCATCAAAAGTTGATAGGGCAAAATTTTGAATGATGCGTCATCGGCACAAAGGCCGTGCGATCTGTCGAGTTATCATGAATCATCATAGCAACGGGCATAGCCCGCATTGACCTTTTATCTAATAAATGCATCCCTTCCAGAAGTTAGGGTTTGTTGCACGTATTAGCTCTAGAATTACTATGATTATTCGAGTAGTAGATACCATCAAACAAACTATAACTGATTTAATGAGCCATTCACAGTCTGAATTAGTTCATACTTACACATGCATGGCTTAATCTTTGAGACAAGCATATGACTATTGGCAAGATCAACCAGGTAGCATTCCTTCGAGACATTGGCACCGCGTGGGCCTCGATGCACCAATCGAGCGGCAGAGAGAGCCTGACGTGAAGTGCAAGCATCGTGCATGTCGAGCATGTGAAATGCATAGCATCGGATGAACGGGGGCCGAGAGCCCATGCCCGCTAAAAGTTTTGCATCCGAGAGCACGATTGAACGTCGGTGCACCAACGCGACCACGGAGGATTGGGTGGCGTGCTTGGGACACCGGCCCCGTTTGACGTTCGACCTGTGGCCCCTCAGGACACGAGACGAATGAGGGATGGCAAGACATCCGGTTTCCATCGATTCAGGTATGCAGCACAAGATCTCGAGCGTGCCCCCGAGGTATGATGACCGCACGGGGGGAGATTGAAGAGGCTGACGGGTCGACAGTTTGATGCATCGAGCATGGAGCCTGCCAACACGCACAACCATAGCACCACTCATATGCCCATTACATACAAGTGGCAGCATCCACGCATGCCGATCCATCAGATAGGCAACAACGGTGCGACACCACCAATGCTTGGCCCTGTCGAGATCGCACGCGTGAGCTCCGCTGACGCCACCCCAGGGGGATGTTGCCCGATTCAGGGACTTGTTCCTGGGGTCTCGGGCAGCATCGACTGCGTGCACAGCCTCATCGAGGCCAAGGCATTTTTGTAGTCGATGAGAGGGGACCGCGAGACCGTCAAATACTGAGAGACTTGGTCGAGCCGAGCCTGCAACCGCAGCTTCTGCTCGCACCACCCCAGAGAGCCATTGCCTGATTTAGGGACTTGGTCTGAGGTCTAGGGTAGCATCCGCCGCATGCACGGGCTCAAGCTTGACTCTTTTTTTTCACATGCACGCCAATCGGTCGAGGCCATGGGCGCCTGTCGATCATCGGAGCAACCAGTCGTCGATCAAAATGGTCGAAAGGCATGCATGCCCTGTATTTCACTCGAGGGACGTTGCCTTGGGTGTACGCAATGGGAGGCCCATCACGCACACCTACTCCCCCCGTGGGGGGAGAAGGGGTGCCAGACTACCACCCCCTAAAGAGCATTGGAGATTTTACAGATATGCTACCAGTAGAAGTTAAAGTGTCTAAAACGGGGACACTTTTTCTAAACAGGCATATCCCGCACTGAGGGTGAGTAGGTACCGATGGTGGTCAAGGCATGTGTCTGCACCAAAGGCCAGCGCGTGCCGATGGTGGTTGAGGTAACCGCCTACACCAGCTCGAGGCATGTGCCCACACCAAGGCCCAACATGTGCCTATGGTGTTCGAGGCAACCACCCGTACCAAGGCCTAGCATTGCCGATGGTGTTCGATGTAACCGCCCACACCAAGGGCCATCTTCTGTCGATGGTGTCGAGGCAAGATCCTGTACCAAGGGCCAACTTATGCCGATGGTGCTCGAGGCAACCGTCCACACCAAGGCCTAGCACGTGCCAATAGTGTTCGAGGCAATCGCTCGCACCAAGGCCCAGCATGTGCCGATGGCATTCGACGTAATCACCTGCACCAAGGGCCATCTTGTACCGATGGTGGTCAAGGCAACCGCCTACACCAAGGGTCGACTTGTGCAAATGGTGGTCGAGGCAACCGCCTTCACCAAGGGTCGATTTATGCTGATGGTGGTCGAGGTAACCGCCCACACCAGAGGCCATCTTCTACCGATGGTGGTCGAGGCAACCGCTCGCACCAGAGGCCATCTTCTGTCGATGGTGCTCGAGGCAACAGCTCTCACCAGGGGCCATCTTCTGTCGATAGTGGTCGAGGCAACCGCCCGCACCAAAGCCCAGCATGTGCCGATGGCTTTCGATGTAACCGCACTCACCAAGGGCCATCTTATACCGATAGTGGTCGAGACAATCGCCCGTACCAAGGGTCGGCTTATGCAAATGGTGGTCGAGGCAACCGTCCATACCAGGGGCCATCTTCTGTCGATGGTGGTCGAGGTAGGAGCCCGCACCAAGGGCCGACTTGTGCCAATGGTGCTGGAGGCAACCACCCGCACCAGGGGCCATCTTTTACCGATGATGGTCGAGGCAACCACCTGCACCAAGGCCTAGCACATGCCGATGGTGTTCGAGGCAACTATCCGCACCAAGGCCCAGCATGTGTCGATGGTGGTCGAGGTAACCGCCTGTACCAAGGCCCAGCATATGCCGATGGTGTTCAACGTAACCGCCCGTACAAGGGGCCATCTTGTACCGATGGTGGTCGAGGCAACCGCCCGTACCAAGGGTTGACTTATGCCGATGGTGGTCGAGGCAACCGCCCACCCCAGGGGCCATCTTCTATCGATGGTGGTCGAGGTAAAAGCCTGCATCGAGCGTCGACTTATGCCGATGGTGCTTAAGGCAACTGCCCGCACTAGAGGCCATCTTCTTCCGATGATGGTCGAGGCAATCGCCCGTACCAAGGCCCAGCACGTGCCGATGGTGTTCGAGGTAATCGTTCGACCCAGTATATGCCAATAGTGGTTGAGGTAACCGCCAGTACCAAGGCCCAGCATGTACCGATGGTGTTCGACGCAACCGTCCGCACCAAGGGCCATCTTGTGCCGATGGTGGTCGAGGTAACCGCCGGCACCAGGAGCCATCTTCTGTCGATAGAGGTCGAGGTAAGAGCATGCACCAAGGGCTAGCTTGTGCCGATGGTGCTCGAGGCAACCGCCCTCACCAGGGGCCATCTTCTATCAGTGGTGGTCGAGGCAACCACCCGTGCCATGAGCCATCATGTGTCGATGGTGTTCAATGCAACCACCCATACCAAGGGCCATCTTCTACTGATGGTGGTCGAGGCAAGAGCCCGCACCAAGGGCTGACTTATGCCGATGGTGCTCGAAGCAACAGCCCGTACCAGGGGCCATCTTCTATCGATGGTGGTCGAGGTAACCACTCGTACCAGAAGCCAGCATGTGCCAATGCTGTTCGATGTAACTGCCCATACTAGGGGCTATCTTCTGTCGATGGTGGTCGAGGTAAGAGCCCGTACCAAGAGCCGGCTTGTGCTGATGGTGCTCGAGGCAACCGCCCGTACCAAGGCCTAGCACGTGCCGATGGTGTTTGAGGTAATCACCCACACCAAGGGCCAACATGTGTCGATGGCGTTCGATGTACCAGCTCGCACCAGGGGCCATCTTGTGCCAATGGTGGTCGAGACAACCGCCTACACCAAGGGTCGACTTGTGCAGATGGTGGTTGAGGTAACCGCCCGCACCAGAGGCCATCTTCTACCGGTAGTGCTTGAGGTAACCGTCCGTACTAGGAGCCAGCATGTGTCAATGGTGTTCGACGTAATCGACCGCACCAGGGGCCATCTTCTACCGATGGTGGTCAAGGCAAGAGCCCACACCAAAGGTCGACTTGTGTCGATGGTGCTCAAGGCAATAGCCCACACCAGGGGCCATCTTTTATCGATGGTGGTCGAAGCAACCGTCTACACCAGGAGCCAGCATGTGCTGATGCTATTCGACGTAACCGCTCGCACTATGGGCCATCTTCTATCGATGGTGGTTAAGGCAAGAGCCCGCACCAAGGGTCAGCTTGTGCTGGTGGTGCTCGAGGCAACCGCCCGTACCAAAGCCTAGCACGTGCCGATGGTGTTTGAGGCAACCGTCCGTACCAAGGCCCAGCATATGCCAATGGCGTTCGATGTAACCGCCCGTACCAGGGGCCATCTTGTGCCAATGGTGGTCGAGGTAACCGCCTGCACCAAAGGTCAACTTGTACAGATGGTGGTCGAGGTGATCGCTTGTACCAAGGGTTGACTTATGCCGATGGTGGTCGAGGTAACCGCCCGCTCCAGGAGCCATCTTCTGTCGATGGTAGTCGAGGCAAGAGCTCATATCAAGATCCGGCTTGTGCTGATGGTGCTCGAGGCAACCGTCCGCACCAAAGCCTACCACGTGCCGATGGTGTTCGAGGCAACCACCCGCACCAAGACCCAGCATGTGTCGATGGCGTTCGATGCAACCGCCCGTACCAGGGGCCATCTTGTGCCGATGGTGGTCGAGGCAATCGCTTGTACCAAGGGTCAGCTTGTGCAGATGGTGGTTGAGGCAACCGCCCGTACCAAGGGTCAGTTTGGGTTGATGGTGGTCTAGGCAACCGCCCACACCAGGGGCCATCTTCTACCGATGGTGGTCGAGGCAAGAGCCCGCACCAAAGGCCGGCTTGTGCCAATGGTGCTCGAGGCAACCGCCCGCACCAAGGCCCAACGCGTACCGATGGTGTTCGAGGCAACCGTCCGCACCAAGGCCCAGCATGTGTCGATGGTGGTCGAAGCAGCCGCCCGTACCAAAGGTCTGCTTGTGTCGATGGTGGTCGAGGCAACTGTCCACACCAGGGGCCATCTTCTGCTGCTGGTGGTCGAGGCAGGAGCCTGCACCAAGGGCCAGCTTGTGCCGATGGTGCTTGAGGTAACCGTCCGCACCAGGGGCCATCTTTTGCAGATGATGGTCAAGGCAACCACCCGTACCAAGGCTCAGCACGTGCCGATGGTGCTCGAGGCAACCGTCCGCACCAAGGCTCAGTATGTACCAATGGTGGTCAAGGTAACCACCCGCACCAAGGCCCAGCATGTGTCAATGGTGTTTGACGTAACCGCCTGCACCAGGGGCCATTTTGTGTCGATGGTGGTCGAGGTAACCACCCGCACCAAGGGTCAACTTATGTCGATGGTGGTCGAGGTAACCGCCCGCACCAGGGGCCATCTTTTACCGATGATGGTTGAGGCAACCGTCCGTACCAAATCCCAGCACGTGTCGATGGTGTTCAAGGCAACCGTCCTTACCACGACCCAGCATGTGTCGATGGTGGTCGAGGCAACCACCCGTACCAAGGCCCAGCATGTGTCGATGGTGTTTGATGCAACCGCCCGCACCAGGGGCCATCTTGTGTCGATGGTGGTCGAGGTAATCGCCCGCACCAGAGGCAATTTCTATCGATGGTGGTGGAGGCAGGAGCCCGCACCAAGGGCTGGCTTGTGCCGATGGTGCTCGAGGTAACCGCCCGCACCAAAGCCCATAATGTGTCGATGGTGTTCGAGGCAACCGTCTGCACCAAGGCCTAGCATATGCTGATGGTGGTCGAGGTAACTGCCGGTACCAAGGCCCAACATGTGTCGATGGTGTTCGATGTAACCGACCGTACCAGGAGCCATCTTGTGCCTATGGTGGTCGAGGCAACCGCCCGCACCAAGGCTCGGCACGTATCGATGGTGTTCGAGGTAACCACCTACACCAGGGGCCATCTTGTGTCGATGGTGGTCGAGGCAACCACCCGTACCAAGGGTCAGTTGGTGCCGATGGTGGTCGAGGCAACCGTCCGCACCACGGCCCAACATGTTTCGATGATGTTCAATGCAACCGCCTACACCAGGGGCCATCTTGTGCCGATGGTGATCGAGGCAAGCGCCCGTAACAAAGGCCGACTTGTGCCGATGGTGGTCGAGGTAACTGCCCGCACCAAGGCCTAGCATGTGCCGATGGTGATCGAAGAACCTCCCGTACCAGGGCCCAGCTTGTGTCGATGGCGATCGAGGTAAGTGCCCGTACCAAAAGGTAGCCTGTACCGATGATGGTCGATACATGTGCCATAACCATGCGCCATCATGTGCCATTGATGGTCGAGGCCTTGGTCGATGTTTAATTTTGAGCCATGGTGCACATGCTGGGCTCGGGCATGTGCTGGTGCTGTATTTTTTTTGCCAGGGGCACCATCACCGGAGCATCGCCAGAGAACCTGACTGGCGGTATTGAGGTTCGGTGATTAAGGGGCCGGGGGTGTGCGCACATGATGTGCGATGGGTGCTGGTACTTGGCCCTTATATTAGCCCCCTATCCCTCATCAAACCTCGAGAACTCACACCCCCTTAAAGAGCAATTGAGATTTTACAGGTTTGCTGCCAGTAGCCATTAAAGTATCTAAAATGGGGACACTTTTTTCAAATGGTCACAAAATCTTGTACACTTCAAGTTTTTAGTTGAACGTTTTTGTGCATGTCAACAAAAATACAAGGATCAAGTCTACCAAATTTGGGACCAAAACTCCTTCTAAAAAAATTTTAAAAAATCCTAAACCATAAAAGGTTTCGAAAATCATGAAAAATAGAAAACAAGTCGTCTTGCCATGAAACTTCACATGAAGGCTTAGGGGACCATTGTATGAATTTACAAGTCATAAAAATGGCATTGGCACAACATAAATATGAAGATGTGCCTAAACCCACCTACCACCTGATCGATCCATGACTTGCGCATCCCGCCTCTCTGGTCGGCGTAGTGCCCGCCCGCTCATTTTGTCGGTTGGCTTAGGCATACAGAGTTCATTCCCAGTCTAAGATTGGACCGAACCGAGGGTTACGGTAGCAAGACCCGTAGCAGGATCAACAGCACGCAGAGGGGGACCCGATCGATCCCCGACTTGCGCATCCTGCCCCTCTAGCCGGCTGGGCGCCCATACGCTCATTTCATGGGTTGACTTAGGCATACAGAGTTCATTCCCAGTCTAAGTATACGGAGTTCATTCCCAGTCTAAGATCGGACCAGACCGAGAGTTACGGTAGTAGGACCAGCAGTAGGATCGACAGCTCACAGAGGGGGATTAGGTCGATCTTCGACTTGCGCATTATGCCTCTCCAACCGATTGAGTGCCCATACGCTCGTTTCATGGGTTGGCTTAGGCATACGGAGTTCATTCCATTTCTAAGCCCCAGTCAGACTGAGGGTTGTGGTAGCAGGATCGATAGCATGCAGAGGGGGACCGGGTCGATCTTCGACTTGTGCATCCTGCCCCTCTGGCCGGCTCAGTGCCCGTACGTTCGTTTCGTGGGTTGACTTAGGCATATGACGTTCATTCTCAGTCTAAGCATACAAAGTTCATTCCCAGTCGAAGATCGGACCAGACCGAGGGTTGCGATAGCAAGACCAGCAGCAGGATTGGCAGCACGCAAGGGGGACCGAATCGATCCTTGGCTTGCGCATTATGCCTCTCCAGCCGGCTGAGTGCCCGCACGCTCGTTTCATGGGTTGGCTTAGGTATACGGAGTTTATTCCATGTCTAAGCCCAGCTGGATCGAGGGTTGTGGCAGTAGTATCGACAGCACGCAGAGGGGGACTGGGTCGATCCTCCGCTTACGCATCCTACCCCTCTGATCGGCTCAACACCCGCACGCTCATTTTGTGGGTTGACTTAGGCATACGAAGTTCATTCCCAGTCTAAGATCGGACCCGCAGCAGGATCAACAACAACACGCAGAGAGGGATCGGGCCGATCCCCTGCTTGCACATCTTACCCCTCCAGTCGGCTCAATGCCCGCACACTCATTTCGTGGGTTGACTTAGGCATACAGAGTTCATTCCCAGTCTAAGATCGAACCTGTAGTAGGATCGGCAACAGCACGCAGAAGGGGACCGGGCTGATCCTCGGCTTACGCATCCTACCTCTCCGGTCGGCTGAGCACCCGCACGCTCGTTTCATGGGTTGACTTAGGCATACAAAGTTCATTCCCGATCTAAGCCCCAATCGAGCCATAGGTCGATCGGGGCGAACGGAGTTCGTTTCCAGTCAGGATCGAGGGACGAAAGGCCCCGAGTCATGCCCAACCTTAGAGGCGGGCGAGGTGAAAAGAACGAAGGTCGGCGGGGGGAGGGACGAATCGAAGCGACAAATGGCTGAATCTCAATGGATCGTAGCAGCAAGGCCACTCTGCCACTTACAATACCCCGTCACGTATTTAAGTCATCTGCAAAAGATTCTACCCGCCGCTCGGTGGGAATTGAGCTCCAAGGAGGCCCGCGTGACTCATCCACCGCGGGGGCTGCACCTACGACACGTGCCCTTAAGGGCCATAGGCCCCTACTACGGGTCGACAATCAAGCGACGGGTGCACACGTTACTTCTATCCTGAATTTTGACTTAGAGGCATTCAGTCTTAATCCAACGCACAGTAGCTTCGTGCCACTGGCTTTTCAACCAAGCGTGATGACCAATTGTGCGAATCAACGGTTCCTCTTGTACTAGGTTGAATTACTATCGTGACGCTACCATCAGTAGGGTAAAACTAACCTGTCTCATGACGGTCTAAACCCAGCTCACGTTCCCTATTGGTGGGTGAACAATCCAACACTTAGTGAATTCTGCTTCACAATGATAGGAAGAGCCAACATCGAAGGATAAAAAAGCAACGTTGCTATGAACGCTTGGCTGCCACAAGCCAGTTATCCCTGTGGTAACTTTTCTGACACCTCTAGCTTCAAATCCCGAAGGTCTAAAGGATCGATAGGCCACGCTTTCACGATTCATATTCGTACTGGAAATCAGAATCAAATGAGCTTTTACCCTTTTGTTCCACACGAGATTTTTGTTCTCATTGAGCTCATCTTAGGACACCTACGTTATCTTTTAACAGATGTGCCACCCCAGCCAAACTCTCCACCTGACAATGTCTTCCGCCCGGATCGACCAGTCGAGGTCAACCTTGGGTCCAAAAGAAGGGGTCGTGCCCCGTCTCCAATTCAAGGAATAAGTAAAATAACATTAAAAGTAGTGGTATTTCAATTTCACCCGGGGGCTCCCACTTATCCTACACCTCTCAAGTCATTTCACAAAGTCGGACTAGAGTCAAGCTCAACAGGGTCTTCTTTCCCTGCTGATTCCTCCAAGCCCGTTCCCTTGGCTGTGGTTTCGTTGGATAGTAGATAGGGACAGTGGGAATCTCGTTAATCCACTCATGCGCGTCACTAATAAGATGACGAGGCTTTTGGCTACCTTAAGAGAGTCATAGTTACTCCCGCCGTTTACCCGCGCTTGGTTAAATTTCTTCACTTTGACATTCAGAGCACTGGGTAGAAATCACATTGCGTGAGCATCCGCAGGGACCATCGCAATGTTTTGTTTTAATTAAACAGTCAGATTCCCCTTGTCCATACCAGTTCTGAGTCGACTGTTCGTCGCCCGGGGAAAGCCTCCTGCCCTTCTGGCCAACCGACTGGGAATATAATATTTAAAATTTTTATAATGAATAATTATTAATATATAATATAACTATAATAAAAATAGTTATAACTATTTGAACTTATTCAGTAAATAGATTTATTTTCTTAATTTCTTGTTTATTACTTTTTTTAATGTTAATAAATTAGTATTATTTTTTTTCGAATATGCTTGTATGAATAGAATGATTTGAAATAGATAATTGTTCTAATAGTCCAAACTATTTGACCTGATTTGACAAAACATTTATTTTTCAAATCTCTTATTAATTTTTAGAATATTCTTAATTTAGCAATATTTTACTCCAAATAAGCTTCTCTGAACAAAAATAATTATTTTATGACAAAATAATGATCATAACAATTTGAGATATAAATATTTTTATATTTAATTATAATATTTGAAATAAGTTTTATTGATGTAAAACTAAAATTATATTAATCATTTTATATTAATAATATTCTAATCATTAATATTTAATTAATTATATTATCTATATAATATTATAAATTATTATAATAGTTTGAAAATTATAGTATTAATTTAAATTATTAATATTATTAGTTAAATAAATTTTGGTATATAAATTATAAATTATGGTAAAATTTTTGACAGATAATTTTTTACAATAGAAAATTGCTTAGAGGGTGAAGCTCCAATTTTAAAAAGAGGAAAGGGGAAAGTGAAAAAAAATTGACTTTTAAAAGAGCACCAACGATGTTTAAGAATAAAAATGAAAAAAAAAAGATAAAAAGATAAAAAAAATTGTCTTATAGTGAAGTGCAAGCTAAATAGTTAAATAATTTTGTCATCCATTTATAAAGTATTTTCCTTCTGTTTTTATTGGGTTAAATTCTTTTTTTTCTATTAATGTCTAAGTTTTTCGTCCAAATCACCTCAAGACACAATGATTTGTTTTTTCCAATATGAAGTTTTATGATTTCACTTTTTTTTTTAATTTCCTACAGTATTGTTGACCCCACCCACTCCATCTATAGTACTTACCTAACTTACCTATGGGAAAAGCATTACATCTTAAATCAAGCCATCTTCAAGTGTAGAAGCTCCTCATGCCATCGAGCTACAAGTTTAGTTTACTTGGTTAAATGAAAAGAGTGAAAAAATAAAACATTAAGTTATCAATTTCCTCCAAATTTGATAAGGAAAACTCAATTTCTCACCCGAATAAAAATGGGTTTGGAAAGTGAAATTAGAGCTGATAGGAGAAATCAATTTTGATAGAGAACTTAATTTCTCACCTTGATAAAAGTGGGTTCGAAGTGTAAAATTCTAGTTGATGGGAAATATCAATTTAAAATATAAACTAAACCCTAATTAAAAATAAAAACAAATTAAAAAAGAAATGGAATATGCGAGTATGTGACAATCTTTTAATTTTGTTTGTGAAATTAAAAATTTACACTATCAGTATATTAAAAATAAACTCTTAAAATATACTTCATCCAATTTTTAATTAATATTTAATAGTTTAATTACTTGAAATAACAAGTAATAAGTAATTACTTCCATAGATAGATTTTGTAAACAAATCTCTTACTAAGATTAACTAATAAATTAAGTAAACAGAAATATTAATAAGAAAATTAATCTATTATTATTAATTTAAAAGGTTAAAACTCTTTAATTAAATTTAAATATCTTATACAAATTCAATTAAATATTTAAATGAAATTATAAATTAAGAATTTATTATCCATACTAATCAAATTAATAATCAATTATTAGATAATTATCTAATAATAATTAGTAAGTAAATAGTAATATATGAATTATATAAATATAAATAATTATTATAATTAGGTTATAATTATATTTGTTAAAATAAAATAATACTAATTTTTTAATATTTTGAAAGTTAATAAGCAAGAGTTTTAAAAAATAAATTTGTTTACTGAACAAATTCAAATAGTTACAACTATTTAAATAATTGTCTATTTAAAATTGTTATGACCTTTCATTTTGTCATAAAACAATTGTTTCAGTTTATATAAGCTTATTTGAAATAAAATAATATTAATTTATTAATATTCCAAAAATGAATAAGTACGTGATTAAAAAAATTAATCTGTTTACCGAATCAGTTCAAATTGTTATTACCTTTTGTTTGGTCATATAATAATTGTTTTTTTTATCATACAAGCTTATTCGAAATAAAATAATATTAATTTATTAATCTTTCAAAAATTAATAAGAGATTTAAAAATAAATCTCTTTACCAAACTAGTTTATTTAATTGTTGATATATAAGTTTATTAATATAATTAATTAATTATATTAAATGATACAATTGATAAAAATAATTATTAATTATGATAAATAATTAAATATTAAATTATTAATATATTATTTGAATACATATAATTTATATTATTAATTAATTTGTATACAATTATAAATATTATTGCAAAATAATATTATTGTAAATTAACTATAAATATAATAACTATTATGTAATTATACATAGCACTTAAATGTTATAATAGTATAATTTATTATACTATTATAATATTTAACTTTCAAATAATATGCATGATTATTAAAAGGATAATATTATATTATTTAATTAATAAATAAGAGAAATATTTATGACCTTTTATTTATAACAACATATAATTATAATTTAAATAGTTATTAGTATTAAATATTAAAAAACATATAAGCTAATACGAATTTCTAATAGTATTACAATAATTAAAATCTATTAGTATTAATGAATATATTATAAATTTGTATAAATAATTATATTAAATTAAATATATGGGAGCTTTTTATATTATAATAAAAAATAAACCTATTTTTTATATCATAAATTTTTTAATAAATATGTTATTTATAACAGATATTATTAAATGTCTAATAATTATATAATTATAATAATTATAACTTATTATAAATATTAATAATTCATTATTAATTTAAAATTTTAAATTAATTATAAGAATTATATTAGGTTATAATATTGATAAAATAAAAGATTAATAATAAATAAAATAATAAATATTCGAAATAAAATTTATTATATTCAATATATATTAAATAATATAAAAGAATTTAATTTAATTATATATAAAATTTGTTAAATATTAAATATTAATTATAATTTAATTAATTATTCAAAATATTTATTTTTATATCAATTAGATTCATATTTTAAATTATTATTTAATTATTATTATTATAATATTAAATAATTATTATTATAATAATTATATTATTATAAAATAATATTAAATCTAAGGGTTATAGATAATTAATAAAATTATTCATAGGTATGAATAAATAATTAGATTTATTTGTATTAATTATCCAAAATAAAAATAATTAATTATCGTAATTTAAATCATTATAATGTATTAGTTTTGATAATATTATTAATACAATAATAATAAATATTTATTATAATTATTATATATATTAAAACAGATTTAAAATAATAATTATTTTATATTTTACATATTAATAATGTTATAATAGTTTAATAGATATAATAATGATAAACTATATTATTATCTTAATTATTATTAATTATAACATTATTATTATTATCTTAATAATAACAATTAAAGTTATTAATTATTTTTTAGAATATTAATTAAACTATTTTATTAAACTACAAATAATTATTAATCGTTATTAACAAGCAATTTTATAACATATCAATTTATATATTAATAATTTAGAAAATTATTCTATTTTTAAAATTATTATTATTATTTGAAATAAAATAATATTACCTTTTTAAATTTGTTCGATAAACAAATTTATTTTTTTAAACTTTCGCTTATTAATTTTGGAAATATTAAGAAATTAGTATTATTTTATTTTAGATAAGTTTTTATAAATTTAAACAATTCTTTTATGTCAAAACAAAAGGTCATAACGATTTTTAAATAAATAATTATTCAAATAGTTATAACTATTTGAACTTGTTCTATATTATTAATCATTTATTGTTTATAAATTTAATAATTAATATTTAACATATTATATTAAAATACCTGTTATGATAAAAAATTATAATATATTAACTAATTATCGATTAGTTAATATTATTGTTATTCATAAAATATTTAATTACTTATTAATTAATATAATTTATTCTATTATTTATTTGATCCATGATAATTAAATAAGTAATATTTAAATGTTTAAATCATCATAATTATTTAAACTTGATTGATAAAAATATTCATTTTTTAATATTTGTTAATTTGTATGATAATTCAAATAATTGTGATTAATAAGTAAGAGATTTATTTGTTTTAATTATAATCCTTATTAATTATAATTAATTATTAATATTTATTATAATTATAATAGAAAATTAATATATGTTAAATTTCAATTGGATTATTAAATATATTAATAATATTAATAATTTATTCAATAGCCATTAATAGTATTGTTAATTATTAATACAATTATTAATTAATGATTATTAAAATTTTTTTAGTACATACAAGCTAATTTGAAATAATATAATATAATTTTATTAACATTCAAAAAATTAATAAACAAGAAATTTTAAAAAATAAATCTGTTTATCGAACAAGTTCAAATAGTTATAACTATTTGAACAATTATCTATTTAAAATTATTATGACTTTTGTTTTATCATAAAACAATTGTTTTAGTTCAATAAAACTTGTCCAAAATAAACTAATATTACTTTATTATTACTTTATTACTATTTCTAAAATTGAGAAGTTGGAGATTTCAAAAATAAATCAGTTTATCGAATTAGTTCAAATAATTATTTATTTCAAATCGTTATGACATTTTGTTTTATTATAAAACAATTTCTTTTTATCATACAAGCTTATTAAAATAAAATAATACTAATTTATTAATATTTCAAAAATTAATAACTAAGAGATTTAAAAAATAAATCTATTTACCAAACTAGTTTAAATAATTATGACCAGTTCAAATAGCTATTA